TATTTAGAAAATAAACAGAAAATTTAAAAAGCCCTGGAGGGTAAGAAGTTATTTGCAATACATAATTTTAGTAAAGCACTCATACCCAGAAAAATATAAATGAATTCTACAAATCAGTAAGAAAAATTCTGGCCATGCTATTAGAAAATGCACAAATGACTTAACTGGACTTTTCAAAGAGGGTAATCATATAGCCAATAAGCGTATGAAAAAATTCTCAGCATCACTGCTTATCAAAGGAATGCAACTTAACACTAAAATAAGATATTACTGAGGCACCAGGATGGCTCAGTCAGTTAAGCCTCTGCCTTCAGCTCAGGTCATGATCCCAGGGTCCTGGAATTGAGCCCCGCATCGGGCTCCCTGCTCAGCGGGGAGCCTGCTTCTCCTTCTCCCTCTGCCTCTCCCCCAGCTTGTGCTCTCGCTCTCTCAAATAATAAATCTTTAAAAAAATAAAATAAAATATTACTGTCTACCCATCAGAAGATATATATTTTAAAGTACAAGTAATATCAAGTGTTGTTGTTGGAGCAACTAGTCATTCATACAATGGTGTTTGGAGTATAGATTGTTATCACCATATTGGAGATCTGTTTGACATTAACTGCTAATCATTTTATTCTTCTGTGAATATACGCACAATCTATGACCCAGAATTTCTATTCCTAGGTATTCAGTCATCAGAATGCATACAAATATGCACCAGAATGTACGTAAAATAATGTACAAAGCAGACTTACTCATAAGAGGTCAAAACTGGAAACATTTATCAACTATACAAATGAGAAATAAGTTACAGTATACTTATAAAATGGAATGCCATAGAACAATGAAAAGGAACAAACTATTGCTACCTACAAAAACTTGGATGAATCTTGTATCTACTATTATGCTAAAGAAATCAGACTGAAAAAAATACGTATTGTATGATTCTATTTAATTAAACTTCAAAAGCAGGCAAAACTAGTTTATGGTGATAGAAGTGAGAGTAATAGTTACCTTTGGAGGGGAAGTGGCAGGGAGGATAAGGGGATACTGGAAACTTTTAAATTTTTGTTGATTAATGGATGCATTCATTTTGTAAAAAAATCAAGCTGTATATCTGATTTACATATTTTTCTTTATGTCTATTATGTTCAACAAAAAGCTTACTTAAAAGTCATTTGGGGAGTTCAAATAGCATTGATTTGTACATTTTGTATTTAGGTCTTTAGGGCAAAAAAGAAAAAAGAAAGAACACTTGGGGGACATTTAGGGAAAGATTTATTTTCTGAGCCAATCCTATACCCTGTGTCACCCTGCATAGTGAATGTGAAGTCCCCTTTCCCAGGGATATAAGGAACCTGGTTATGATAACTTACAAGAACATGATCTTTTGAAGCAGCAGATGTTTGTGCTGGAGCAGGCTTCAGAATTCAGATTTTTGTTCCATTTCTAAGAACATAATAGAGCAAGATCTGAAACAAGAACTCAGGCCTGGTTGGCTCTGACCTTTGTTCATCCCCCAGGGACATAGGCCAGGCTCTCCTCCAACCAACTTTGCTTTCGATGTAAACAAGATCATCAGGCATCTCAGATTTGGCTGAATGATGTGAGAACAGATGGGGGAATCTGGTTCTAAGATGTGTAAATTCATGCCTTCTGGGCCCAAGAAGTGAAAAAAATAACAAGTTAGTTCATTCCACGTGAGTGGGCAAAGCTACAACAGCAGGGAAGAAATCTGCTACCTTCAGCTGTCAGACCTGGCCCCTTGATGCTCTTGTCTCATAGTGCGGGGTACAAGCCGAAAAGACTGTCCCCACATCAAGAGGCCCTGGGGACCTCACATTCAACTGTGCGATCCTGTGCTGATGATTCACAAGCTCTCTGTACAGAAACAACCTGTTTCTCTATTACTCTTTGGATTATATACATAGGCATGGGTGATGCATGTGATGAGCAATGCAAAATAAATGAAAGCAGAGTAGCTCTGAGAAGCTGGGAGCCTTGAAATTTGACACAGTGATAACAATTCGGGTATCTAACACTGAGCATTAACTGTAGTCCGGTTTGTGAATGCTTTTTTGGATTGTCTCATTTAGATCCCAAGCCTATGAGAGTAGGTGTTATTGTCCTCATTGCATTTTACAGATGGCCCAGCCAAAGCACAGAAAGGCAAAGTCACTTACCTAAGGTCACACAGCTACTTAAGTATCAAGTCAGGAGTCAAATCCAGGCTCTGCAGTATCCTGTCTTTTTATTACTTCTCTCTGGTGGAAAGAACCATTTCCTGGGAAAGAATTTCCCTAAGGCTCCCTAGTAACACTTCAATGGGGGGCAGGTAGTAACAAAGACCAAAGAGTAGAAAGAATAGGTAAAATTATCTATGCCCTAACCAGTCTGGCCTATAGCTACTGCTATATTCCTAGACACTGATCAATATATAAAACATGATTTTCCTCCTGGATTTTCTGAGAATATTCATGACTTGTGATCAGTTCATTAAAAACCATTTCAGCAAAGACAAATTCCAAATCTTCTCTGGGTTTCCTTCTCTTTGTAAAATTATATTTTTATTGAATGGCTTCCCTGTATCTGGTATTGTTTTATCTATTTTGAAGAATATCAGAAAACATAGGATAAGAATGCAGCTCTAGGACTTTGTCATCCATGTATGCCAAACTTCTCCAGAGTCTTGGGTATGATTTAGGCTATCAAATCCAAAACCAAAACAAACAAATACCTCTGACATATGCCATTGGCAATACATGGGGTCTGTATTATCCCCCCCAAAATCTCTGAGTCTACTTCTCATTTGAATCTGATGCTCCTAAATTTACTTAGAATATAATATTTGGCTCTTGCCACCATACCTAGTGCCAATTTTTCATAACAGTAGGGACATTAATGCCAAGCTTCTGATGCTCCTTGAGCAACAAGTCCTCAAGGTGCCAAAGGGACCAAGAGGTCCCCACTACATTCTGATCACTACACTACAGTGTGATTAGTGCAGAAGTAGGCATAAGATTCTCCAGGTTGGTATAATATTTTGTCATTTGGGCACCAAGGATTATGCCTCTGTGTCTCATGGCTTACTCATAGTTCTGCTGTCTCCCATAGACTTGTGTTCTCTCTGTGAGGTTGGGTTGGGTTGGGTTGGGTTAGGGATTGAGGCAGCACCCCTTTCTTTGTCTCCAGGTATGTTCTATGTAGGGACCATCTCCTGTGCATTCCAACTGAAGTGTGAGTGACCTGAGGAATCAACTGTCCCATGAAGTAGTTAGACATATGTGTTTGTTTCTTCTTCAACACATATCTTACTAAGTTCCAATTTTATATCATGTACTTTTCATTCAAGACATATTCATTTTGTGGAAACACATGTTTTAGGTTAACTAGGGCCTCTGCTGTATCAAGTTTTAAATAAAAAATCTAACTGCATGAAATAGAAAATTGTAAATATTTTATATTCATTCAAAACAAAAATAAAATTTAATTTACTGCATTATATTGTAACAGTATTTTTGGCTGCCCCCATTACATTGTAAATATCATTAAGATACAAATCATGCCATGCCTGGTCCCAGCCCTAGCATCTCTTCTCACTGTGCCTAACACATTGATAGGAACTCAATAAATGTGTGTGGATTTGGATAGGCTTCCCCAAGGAGTGTAGAAATAAAGCCCGAACTTAAAAGGAAAAGACTCTTAAAATTTGAATAACATCCAAAACATGTTAAAGTCTTCATCTGAAATCTAAATTCCTTCCTTTATTCAATACTAATGCATGTCCTAATTCTAACATAAGGATATCAATGAAAACCTTGCTAAAATCAGAGCAAAGAAGAGAACTTCTTATTGCCGGAAGATAATCAAAGGCTAGATACACTGATGCTAGCTCATAACTCCATGCACAATAGTATGTAACTGAGTCAAAATTTTGCCGATTTGACATAGGCAAGAAATGGAATCCTTTCCTACAAATAGAATGTGAGGCCACCCTCTAATTCTAAGAGACAGAAATAGCTCCTTCAAAATCCCAAAGCTTGGCTCACACCTGTTACTCAGGACCACATAAGTCTGTAGAAGCTTATGAAAAGCCCCATTGTCAAGAACTGCATCCCTGCTGTTTTCAGGGTTCTCTCCCAATGTACTGTAATGAAGGAACCTTCATCAGAAGCAACAAGGCAAAGGAGACCGTATTTCTTCCATCCCAGACTCCCTTGTTGTGGCTGATCCAAGAACACATGTACACACACATGCACACCCTCTGCATTTATGCATCACTGTTTCCTTGAGGAAACAAAGGACAGTTGATCCAGAAACCAACCAAGACGGGAGAGGAAGTGTCCGTAAAGGTGTATCTACTTAGCCAAACATTTTCCTAGTACACCTGAATTTTAGGAAGCCGATCGAAAGTATTTTGCACTGAGAGCCAGGTATCCAATGAGGGGTGGCATCTCTGAGACTTGCTGAAGATGAATGTTCTCTGGACCACTAATGAGCACCTAATGAGCCTATAGACTTTCAGTGCAATAACTAGGCTTCATGGAGAAATCCAGTGTGAGGACCTGAAGGCACAGGATGGATGGCAAAGGGTCTAATCAGTCTTAAGAACTCAACAAAACTGATTTGGAAGGCATTCATTTGAGAGGACTGCTAGGCAGAAGTAGTGTCTGCATGTTACTGAAGATAATTAAATCTGTTTTAAACAGCTGTAAGAATAAAGAGATGCAATTCGCTGCATAATTTAAGACTTTTAAATTAAATCTGAGGCAAGGGACTAAAATTAAAACTTTGATCTGTATCTCATTGTCTTAATACTTCAATTTACATACAAAGACTGGAACTTAATAAGGAAAATTCATGATTATAACTTCTTCTGTGAGATTTAACTCCAAAACGTGAAGGCTGTGTCCTCATTAAATGGATTTCAATGATCTGTAATTTCACATACATTGAAAGACTTATGGGCAGCATAAAAGTAACCGCAGTGTAATAACACTTCATAAATATTGCAGGATGCTGCCAGCCATCGAATGGCAGAGAAGATGACTCTTGATAAAATTTGCTGTGAGACCCTCATTTGTTGAATTCATAAAAGAATTTGACCTACTTTTTCATCTGGGGAAAAATTGGGGCTTTTAGTAATGGCACAAAGAGTTCGCAGGCACTGGTAAGTCTGGGCAGGTATCTTTTCTAAGCCAGCCCAGATCTGACTCAGAAGCCTCGGCTGTTTTCTCCTTCCACACAAACAGGAGCTGATTTCAATGAGCCGTGGAGACTTAAAAGGCTTTCTCATGTATTATTCCTTACTCCATTCAGCTTTATTCTCTTTGACTGGAGCAAGGTAACTGAGCCACTTCATTTCTTACACCTTGCGGCTTCAAGTTACAAAGGAAAAGAGGGAAATGAGGCGGGCAATATAGGTTGTCTTTAGCCAGAGGCCTAGCATCTGAAGTTCAGCTTGGCTTAGTTAGCAACTCTTCCTAAGGCTCCAGTTTTCCTTCCTCGGTTCTGGTCCACAAAGGTTGGGGTGTTGCTCTTCTTTAGAATTTCAGGGAATCAGTGTCTGCAAAGAACTTCATTCTGCCTTGATAAGCAAAGAGTGATACCTGGCTCATTACTGAGAGTTTCAGTTCAGTGCACATCCCAACAACTGGGGTCATAATTTTCATGTAGGAAATAGTCTTCAGATAGATTTTCAGTCTCTCAGCCTGTCTGCTTTAGGCCCCGCAACAGTGGCGCCCCATTTCTTCCCCATGGGTGGCCACCACCCCTGAATGTGAGAACTTCGCCCAACCATACAAGTTTTGCCCAAGTGTCTAACTTCCTCAGGTTTCTGGCTTTGCGCTTTGCCTATTCCATGACTCGCAGCCTTATCAGCTCGTTCCTTAGTGTGACCCACCATTGATGTGCAATGGAAAGTCTCCACCCTATGACCAACAGCACTTGAATAAGCTCTACTTCTTCACCTGAGAGCTGAGATTACTTTAGCACCTGAAGGGATGCTGGAATATGAGTGGATCTTCAATAATGCCCATAGCAAGAATGATAGCATTTAAAAATAGCTGGTCCCCTACACTAGATTTGATGATTAGGATCATGATCATTCTGCCTATCTTTATAAGAAAAGAAATTGAGGTTGAAATATAAATTGCATTTCAAAGGGCATGTAACTCCCAGGTTACTGCCTGACTTCTGTAGGACCTCTGCACATACAGTGCCTCTGTAGAGCTCTGTAACATCACTTAGATCTCTCAAGAAGCTAATAATTTGGAAAAGTGACAAAGTAACATCCAGGGCAAGCAATCATATATCCGTTTCATAGATAAGATCTTATGACTTGGTTAAGCCTAGCAATAATATATAATGCTAGATATAAAAGTTTTGAAAGCTATTTAGAAATTTTGAAAGCATAACATAAAACAGTGTAATGATTCCAGTGTTTTGTGTGTGTGTATGTATGTGTTCACGGGCTTCTCATCGGCTAGTATGGCATTTACCAATCTAATGTTGATCTCTCTGGGTAATAGGATTATGAGCAATTTGAATTTTCTTTTCCTCATTTTATGTGTTTCCTACATTCTCTTTATAAATTTTTCATGGCTTTCTCTTTTTTTTCTTCTTTCTTCTAATTGAGCTAACATATTTCTATTACATATTTTACTACTAGGAAAAACCCATTGCATAAGTTTATTCCTAAAGCCATCTTACCACTTTTTTAAAAAAGCATAATTCTGTTCTTATTACATACCTGAATGTTTTACTTTTAGAGTGATTTTCAAAGTTTTTGAATAAAAACATCTTTATGATTTTTATTATTTGGTGGCACCATAGTTTTCCTACCAAAGCCTGCGGAGCTAATTCCTAAAACCACCATGTAGTGGTTAACAGTGTAGTAATGTTCTTTATTACCTAAAAAGTATTTTCAAAACATAATGGGTCAAGGTTCTGACCTCTTTCTACCACAGTGTCTAGATGGAGTAAAGAGACCTCGGCTTACAGTTATTTATTTGCTTACACAAGCCAAATGTTCCTCCAGCCTTATGGTATTCTGTTCCATTCTAAGCCAGACACCTAGTACAGAAGACATAAAAAGGGAATGTGGAAATTTGCTGTTCATTCAAACACATGGTGCTGTGGCTCATTTGCAAGTGAAGGATTAAACCATTTAGTGATGTTCCAGTTGGAAATTCTTGGTCTGAGTGTTAGATCCAGAAGTATTTGGGTATTTAGTGAGATAAGTCCCAAGGCTCAGGGTTCTCAGGGAAGGGCTGAGCCATCTGCATTTCATCCTAAAGAGGGTGAAATATGTATCCAGGCAAATGGTTTGGTGGATCCGTAATCTGGTCTTCTGGCATCACTGACCTTGTCAAACCTGAGTTCTCTGGTGAAATCTAAAACCCCGTGCACGCACTGCCCTCCTCACTGGTGTGAATGTTCTTCCTCCAGGTCAGAGTATCCAAGTCCACTGCTGCCTTTTCCTGCAAGAGGTGCGGGGGTTGGCATCTTCAGAGAGGCACCTGTATTCTGGATAACCATCTCTGAATAGACAAGGGGAGAAGCTGACTCTGTAATTTGCAGTTACGCCAGTATCTTCATATCTTGGGATTGTGTCCAGACCTCAGTTTTGAAGCTGAAGAGAAAACCATAAAGCATGAATTGAACCAAATATTCAGGAAATACTTGCCCAGCTGACCTAGTGAGGCAACCTCAGCTTTCAGCAATGGTAACACCTCTTAAAAAGGATACCAGAGAGAACCAAGACTTGCTTAGGAACAGGAGATAGGGCATTTGCAACTACCTCTTGTCATAGACTCGTGTTGTCTGTACTGGAAGGACTCAGTTTACTATTATAAAAGGACAGGCTCAACAGTTATAGCAGTTGATTCTTGCTTAGAGTCCTTTCACTCTTGGTTGAATATTCACATTGGCAGGGTCTCCCCAAACAGGCTTTGCAGCTCCCATAGTATTTTATAGAGCCTGGCATATTACACCGGGCTCCTCTTACATCGCTACTTAATGAAGAATTTGATCCATGTTGGCATTTCTCTAAAAGGTTTTAGTTACTGAAGCTTACAAAAGCTTTCTGGTTTCACGTATGAGTGCATACATTCTTCAAGAGCACCCACCGGGAATTGAGCACAATAAAATAGTAGAAGTGCTCAACTTGGAGTTAAGGAGAGCTTGGTTCAAACTAGTCTTTGGCAAATTTTAGCAGTCTTTTAGGGTCGAAGATTAAATGAGATGCTATATAGAGAACAGTTATTATTTCTGCCACAATAAACTCTCAAGAAATGTTCTCTTTTCTCCTAGTGACCACAAGGATATGTTCTAGAACAATCTTGCATACTTTATATTAGAAGTCATGTGTCATAGTTCACTCTTATTGAATAAGCCCAAGGTGGATAGCACTTCTCCCCATGAACTTACTTCTACCAGCTGACAAAAATCTCTTCTTTGAAAGCTCATTGTACCATAGTCCTCTCCTTTCCTTTTTCTTGTTGAGACTCCGCTAACCTGAGTCTAACTAAACCTACCTGGAATAGGGTATGCAAAGCACAGGTAGGTTACTGTTATTTCGTGCTCCCCACTCTACTAAATATTCTTAGCCTTAAAAAGAAAGGGCTGAAATTTCTAATTTTTGTTTCTGTCATTCAATGCTGCTTAATCATTTTTTTTAAAAAATCTTACTGTGTGATCAAAAGAGCATTAAAAAGAACAGAAATCTAAGACCAAAGTTGGTTGTATTCCATCATCAATCTGTTATCAACTTGTGTTACCTTCTGGTTATATCTCATATACTTAATCAATATTTAAATATTGATTTACAGTAATGGTAGAAATAGAATGTTGTGTTTTGCCTTGTTGCTTGTGTTATACCATACTCCACACCCCCCCATTTAAATTTGGTGAACTCTCTACTTCCCTTCATTTACTCCCTCCCTCTTTTAATCCTAAATGCTGGTCTCTCTCTGCCCCTACCCCTCCGGGGGGAATCAGTGTTAACAGACTGGGTTATATTTGCCAGCACCTTTATGCTCATACAGACACACACATATGCAGTACATTCCCTGTTATCTGCTGTGTTTTTGTTTTTGACAAAAAATGGGTTATACTAAAGTCAGTTCTCTACAACATAGTTTTTGCTACATGAACTTTAAGATCACTTTCAACACTGAATTCCAGGGAAGCCTGAGGCAAGCCTGAGCTTTGCAGGGGCCAGGCTCTGACATATGAGCCCAGTTTCTATCTGCAGTGAGTCTATAATGCCTTCAGGAGTGTCTTGGAGTCTCATTTTTGGATGAGGCTGTCAGTATTGAGTTACTATAGCATTTGTTTTCCCATTTTTCTCTCAAGCCATGTTGCAGGAACTCTGATAGGTTCACACACCTTCCATTGCTCAGGTTAATCTTGGCTCCTTAGTGGCCATTTGATATATTTGTTTTTCTATTACCAAAGTCAGTAATGCCCTTGGAGAATCCCCATATGGATTTCATGTGGCTTTTGTGCTTTTCTTGGGCACATCTTTTGATAATATTCTCAGTTCTGTATCTGTATCAGAGCAGGTGACGAAAGGGCATAGGTCTAAAAAATGTTATACGGTAGCCTAGATATTTGCCAGCCTAGGAGCCATTTCAGGAATGGTGACTTGTGATTTATTAAATGGAAGTAACTCTCAATTATACGGTGCATTTTCCTGACTACTGAGTTATGAATACCTGTTGTTCCCCATATTCTCTATCTTCTTTATGGCTTGCACACAATACCGTTTCACCAGCGGGAAGACGTCAGAATGCAGTATGGCGTTCATGCTAATCCATCTTTCCACTTCTAAGCAAAGCTGTTGTCAGAGGGGGAAAGAGTCAAAGCCAGGGATGGAGCCTAACAAGAAAAGAAACCGATACCTTGCCTTTGTTTTCACCTTTCTGTAACTCTAAAAGGCATTACAAGTAACTTTCAATTAAAGAAGCTTCACCAAGGACTGAGCTGCATGGATAAAGTTAAACCACAGATCATCTTAAATCCTTCCTTCAGTCTCACGAGCGATGGGACTCCAGGCATCTTAC